GGTATAATATTTAATTTCTCTCAAAAATTCGACTTGGAGATTCAACTTTTCATCAAAGCTCACTTCTTTAGAACATTATCAACACTTGTATCACATCCTGGATTACAGTTCTTATTTACTGTTGTGTATCTCCATTTTCCTAATTAGATTTCAAATAAACAATAAGTAAGACTAGAGGCCTCGACTATGATAAGAAAATATAAAGAAAATCCTAAACTGAAGAATACAAACTAAGAATTCTAAATCCTGGGTCCAATACTGTCCAATGTCCAGTTCTTGTAAATTCAAAGCGGAAGCAAAAAGACAACTGCTTTTTTCACTTTCAGAGAAAGAAGTGTGATGCACATAATAATGCTACTCTTGGTCAAAGTTTTCACACATCCTCCTCTGAAGTTGATCGCTAACAGGATGCTGTTGGAAGCTCTTGCTGACTGTGTTAACACACTAAACGATGACAAAGATCAATTTTCTTAAGCTGCTACCACTACTTAATCTACAACAGCAATGACCACTCAGCTTTATCACAATCAGATACGTGACTATTGGATTTGATATTGCATAAAGAAGACACGATTGCTGGTTTACTTAGCAATTGTTGATAATTTTGCTAGTTGTACTGTCATCATCTTGTTAAAAAACAAGAGTTAAAAATTCCTCAGTTTTATTCACAGATCTTTTTTGTACAGTTTTTGGCAAACTTACATATTAGATAAAAATGTATTATTTATCCCTTTGTTTTCTAAAAGTTGAACTGAGCTAAGTTGAACTGAGCTAGATGTCATTTTATAATTATTTTACTACATTTTTAATTTTTTTTTTTTTTTTTTACACCTACACTTTAACAGTGTGTTTGTAATGTGTATGTCTGCTTCCACTAAGGAAGCAGACAATCTGGCAGATTTGCACAAGCTCAAATGGGACCTTAAATGCAGGTTGTAAATGAGGCTGATGAGAAACAGGTGGTCAGGCTGAGGCGTGGAGAGGAGCCTCTGCTCAGCTTCTCCTGGACTCAGGGAGTGTTAAAGACTCCAAACAACAACAACCCTGTGCAGAAATATGACTTCAGGCTGGGTTGAAGATTTAAGGTGGTTATACAACTTAAATGTATGCACTGATGTTAGAATGTTGCAATCTCTATTTTGCTTTTTATGCTGCCTTTATTCCCAGTTTTTCCAGCAAATTGTAAAGAATTTAGAAGTGCTTTTCACACACTTCTGTAGGTCAAAAAAATAAAATGTGATGAATAGAAATATTTTATTCATGCCAATATTTTAGAAACATCTTATTGGACGATCTAAAAATACAAAAAACAAAACCATTTGAACAAAACTAAGGGAAGTAGATGAAGGCCACTTCACTTTTTTAACTATCAAGTTAAAACTGGTCCTTATTTTTACACTAGTTTTGTGTTTGCTGCTGCCATGAATACAAACAGTAATGATTTAAAGCCTTTAACTAAATTAAGATAAGATAAGATAACCTTTATTATTTGTTTTGTTACAGCACAAAGTGGACAGTGCAAAGTTAGATAGCAAAAATTTGAAAAACACTGGAATACAATAAGAATAAGAAAAAGATACTGTACACAAATGTACACAATAGAATATAATAAAATAAAATACTATACTGTATACAATAGAATAAAATAGAATACAAATACTATATACAACTGAGTAAAAAATAACAACGTTGTCAGAAAAAGAGTACTGCACTTAGTGTTGTTGCACATTTTTGGTCAGTTGCAAAGTTTTGTGAGAGCCTGACAGCAGAGGGGAGGAAAGACCTTCGAAATCTCTCCGTCCCACACCGTGGGTGCCGCAGCCTGCCACTGAAGGAGCTGCTCAGTGCTGTCAGAGACTCCTGCATGAGGTTGCAGATGTTGTTCAACGGTGATGACAGCTTAGC